GCCTTTCACTCGTCAATCGGAAAGGTGTTCTTCTCCACAACAATGCACATCCACACGTGGCACGTTTGACGCAACACAAGATATGGCACCATCAGATTACCATCTTTTTCGTTCGCTGCAACATCATCTTAATGGGAAAACGTATGCAAATATGGGGGGTGTTAAAAAGGACATCGACATGTTTTTTGCTTCAGTGCCAAGTGATTTCTTTAACCAGGGCATTAACAACCTAATTGTAAGATGGAAAAGCATAACCGATAAAAATGGAGACTATTTCATTTAATAAATGTTTTGTTTTGATATACATGTTGTTTGGGATTTTTAACTAAAAAAAAGCGACATTAATTTCTCGACGACCTAATATGTCCAAAAGAGCAGGTTGACTGCAGGTGAAGTGAAGAAAACATGTCCATCTGGAAAGCTTAACATGCCCACCAGTGGGAGATGGCGTGAATACGCTGCTGATCCACTACTCTTAGGAAGTACTGAGTTTTAAAGTGCCAAAACATCCATTGACAGGTGGCACTTAGCTGATGATCCTGCTGGTGTCAGCACTGAAGGTAACTACAATGTTCAGCCTTTGTTTGTTGAATTAATTCTACCAGTAAATTGTAGATGAAGAGGAACTGACTAACCCTTGTATTGCTACATACTTTCCTTTAAACACATGACTACAATGGTCGGGATAATATCTATAAATACATCTAAACATGTTTACCAGAAGAGGTAATGAAAGACTCCATTCTTGTCTGAAGAACTTTTCTGTTCTGTTCACGCAAAACTTCTCAATTGGAACAGTCTTTCCTGCTAATCTTTGCTTTAGCTCTGGAACTTTCCTACAACAATACAAAAATATTTACAATTAAAAGGAATACTACGAAACGTGTGTAATGATTTTAACGTTATATTCCTTTTAATTATAAATAGATGTTTTACACACAAGTGCCGTTTTAAATGATTTAATACAAAAATATTTCAAACATTCACCTCTTTATAAAAATTACACAGCTTAAAAAGTAAAAAAAACAAAAAAACCTACTTTTTTGGAAACTTATTTTTGTTCATTTTAAACTAGTGGATATCGTGAAGATATAAAATATTGCACTCTACAGATGATAATAAACAATCTTTTTATTTCTGTCAACGTTTTGCTATTGTGATTTCATCAGGGCTAACAGTACAGTTCATATACTACTAGCTTCGATGAAGCTGCAATGGCGAAACCTTTGCAGAAATGTTTTTATTATTATTATCTGGAAAGTAAAGGTCGTTTTTTTTCTAACCATATGGTCAGAAATGTCTAAATTTCTTCAGTTATGTACTACAAACTCTTAAAAACAAAAAAATATATTATAATTAAATTGGGAATAAATGATAAATACAGATGGAAGTTTAAGTAAATAATCAATCGTGTATTCTTTGGATTTGGATAATTTAAATTGGAATATTTCTTCTTGTCTTTGAGATTAAATTATTATAACCAGAATTAAATTAACGTTCCTCCTAATATGCAGTTTCAAAAAATGTTGGCAAAATCAACTTCAGTTGAATTAATCCTCTTAATGAAAATTAAAACCTGGCTCGAGTTCCAAATTTAGTACACTATATCCCAAAGATAAGAAACTTTCAATATAGGCGTTGGAACGGGAGGCTACGGACCCTTCCCATTTTCAATACGGGGGGGAGGGAATGACCCATTTCGCTATCTCCCATAAATTTCCATAGGTTTTTGATTTGCCTAACTTGAACAGAGTTCTTGGTTCAGAATAAATACTAATTCAAAATAGGTGCACACTCTAAAATTAATTTGGAAGCTCAAGATAGACAGATGAAAAAAAAAGAAGATAAAGGGATTAAAACTGTCGTTGTTGCCTTTTAGCACAATAGTTATCTGTGCTCTGTCCACCGCAGGTAAACAAACCACGGATATTAGCGTTGTAAGTCCGTAAAGTTATCGCTGACTCATCAGGAAGGAGGGTGGGGGCAAGATTAAGGTAAAAAATATAAGGTATGTAAATACGTCTTATTTTCACATTAATTTTGCTTATATTTACATCAAGGTTCCATAATATCTTGACCCCCACTGCATAAAAATATGCCCAAAGTGCTACTTCAATAGTAAACATTTTCCCGAAAAGTATGGTACCGAATCCCTTAAATTCTTGTCTGCCTTCAACAAGAGCTCTTCTGATAAGCTTGGTCCACTTTCATCTGGCCTCCCCCCCCCCTCATAGTTTGTTCCGACACCTATGTTCAGCAATAAAAAAAAAACACTCAATAAAAATATATTTTAAAAAATTAATATTTTTAATGGACACAAAGTTTAGATAAAAACTATAAAATTGGTTTTTGATAACCCTAGATTTCCCAGACTAACTTGAGCACGTTAGTGACTTCCTCCATTAGGCTATTATCTCCATCCTGCATCTGCATATACAAGAAACAGCCATAAAGGTAGGAATAAGTGGCCGGTGACCAGCGACACTCTTTACGCATTATATCACAGCACTTCGCCGCATTAACCCAGTCACATTTGTAGCTATAAGAGAGTATAAAATGCCTTTACTACAAATTCATTTTACTTCATTTTGTGTGTACAATACATTTATTATTTCAAATTCTAAAGTACATACATTACCATACACACATGCACAACTAAAGTTACAAAAGTGTTACGATATCTTGATATTATTCATTTTGCTTTTATATCTTAAAGCTGCTCTTCAACTACTTGATAGAACTTTTATAAGTACATAAATTAGCTTTAAACATTTTTTGTTTGTCTGTGCATCGGAAGTTGAACAGGATTCGAGCCACGAAATTTCGCTGAATAAACCCCAAACGTTCAGCTTTCAGAGTGTTATAACTGTAACAGTCAATCCTACTATTCGATTAAGAGTAGTCACGTTGGCAGTAAGCACTGTCTACTGCTGTTTTCCTTGTAGTAATTCATCCTTAATTAGGAATGGCTATGCCTGAACCTTAGGGTCAATGACCTAGCCAACAAAGTCCATGTTTCACATAATATCAGTCACATCCATTATTCGTCCGTAATGTGTTAATGTGCTTTTGATAAATGAAGCTCTGGATCATTATACTTTACACCAAAAACATAATATGTGTACTCACTTTGAATTACTTCTCTTTACAACAAAAAAGCATAATTTGTGGACCCAACTTTGAATTAATTACACTTGAGATCAAAAACAGTATATGTGGACTCCACTTTGAATTGGTTACACTTTAGATCCAGTTTGTATAGTGTTGATTCTGTTTAACTGATCCGCTGATGTGAACAAACATGTGATACTTGAGCTTCCAGAAATTTAGGAAACTTGTAGAGTCTTACAGTGGAAATTAAAAAAAAATCAATTTTTTAAAATTCCTCTGGGCAGTATTAAAATATTTATTTAATTATCATATTCCTGCGATTTATGAACTTTCTATTTTGGATACTAGTGTTTATCTGGTAGCTTTACGAGTCAGAATTTGGTCGTCATTATCAATCAGTTAGAAGTAAGATCAAAAGACAAAGTCTCGAAATTATATTAAGGCAACTAACAGACACTCGTATAGTCCTTTATGTGTTATTCCAATGTACGTACTAAAAAAATTGTGCTAGATTATGAGGTGAATGAAGGCAATGATTCTGAAATACAATCAAAAACATTTGGTTAACATTCTGCAGGTAAATTACAGGTATGAGAAAGGAGTTGAAATGGAGAAAGCGAGATAAACAATTTTGAATCAAGAAGTCCATAGAAACTGCTTTACGTGCAATTAAAATCATAGTTGAAGTTCTAGTTTAATATCCAACGAAATAAATGATCAGGTGAATGAAATGTGGAACTCGAATAACACTAGTTAGATAGAATTCGTAAAGAGGCGATACTTAAGCGGTGTTCAGAGACTGAAAGAAAAAAAGCAGGATTGAAACCGACTTATTGATAAATATCAGAGAAATGATTAGGACCAACATTTTAATTGCTAGATATTTCCTTGTCAGAATAAGACATACGGGGAAGTGTGATCACGTATTTTTGTGACACACTGCAAGACACAGTGCGAGATTTCACGAATTGTATGTCTATACATAGGCGTAATTTACACGGAAAACGAGAGGACATGTTCTCCTTACTTTTTCTTTAACGAAAGATTGTAGCACTTGAGCTTTGTTTGTTTGTTTATTTAAGAGCAAAGCCACTTTGTGCCATCTAACGGAGCTCTGTTTTACCTCATGTGAGGTAGTTGGTCTCCACTCAGGGATCAGCGCCTGGCGGCGCAACACCTGGCATTGTCATCTAATACTCAATTGAACTCCGATACTCCTACAGAATTAACTATAAACGAAGTTTGTGAAGCAGTAGAACTAATTAGAAAATGTTAAGCTAACTCAGTGAAACGTTTTATTCCTTATTTCTGCATTAAAAACTTGAGAATCTAAACCATTTTCTCATTTCTAGTTTAAGTAATTCTCGTATGTAAGCAAAATAATTAGAAGATTTAAAATCTTCAAGTTGTGATAAACTCTGTGCAAAATGTTTTAGAGTCATTAGAATTTATATTGCAGTAATTTTATATTTTAAGCAATGGAAAATATCTTTCCTATAATTACACTCGTATTGTTGTTTGGGCCGTTTATGTTCCCAATTGAATTAAATGCTATTAAAATATACTTTATGAAAAACCTTCTTTATTGAAATAAAACCGAAAACTTCTTAGAATAAATAAAGTAGATTTTCGGAAATCTTCTTCAACAGTAGACAACATATTTATTTTAAGATGTACGGTTGATAAGTCTTTGTACCTTAAATGAAGTAGATAGTCCGAGCATTTCAGGAATTTTATTCAATTAGATTTGTTTGTTTGTAGTTATGTACAATACTACACAATGGGCTATCTGTGCTCTGCCCACCACGGGTATCGAAATCCCGTTTCTAGCGTTGTAAGTCCGCAGACATACCGCTGTGCCACTGAGAGTCATTCAATTAGAAGAAATTATCTACTCAGAACATTGCTTTATTAAGATATTGGTGGTAAGGTTTTAAAGGCTTTTTTTGTTTGTTTATTTTAGAGCAAAGCATCATCATTTGGCTATCTGCTATGTACAACACGAGAAATCAAGCCCCGAATTTTAGAGTTGTAAGTCCATAGACTTACTGCTGTCACATCCGGGGACTTTTAAAAGCAATAAAAATCATGCATATTGAACTAAATCCTAAAATATTTCGGCTGTTTTACAGGAAAGTGTTTGTTTGTAGTTAAGCACAAAGTGGGATATCAGTGCTGTGACCACCACGATTATCGAAAACGATTTTTAATGTTGTAAGTTCGTAGACTTGCTGCTGAGCCATTGGAATCATGTGTATTATTAACTTGACGCTTTATAATATTTCTGAGCTATTTGTTGGACTTCCTATCTAAATGGAACATTCAGAAAATTGTAAAGAAGAAGTTTTTACTGATTTTTGCTGATGATTTACTTTTCGTTATTAAGGTCAGAAAGTCGATCACTGAAGTTACTGAGAAGTTTTCAATGTTGTGGGAGTTTTATATTAATTTAAACGAATCAGAAGTTATTGTGTCTCGAAATGGATGTTTTAAAAAAATGATTATATACCGGAAATTGGATGGTATGGATATGAAGGTGACTGTACATTACAAGTATCTAGGAATTTAGAGAAAACCAAGCAAGTAAGTTATGTTTTACTGCAACAAATAATAAGATTGCTAAACAAGTAGAATCCGTAATACTGAATTTCTTGTAAAAATATTTGATTTGTAAATCTTGTCAATACTGAATTATGGTATAAAGTCTATGTATTTAAATTTTTTTAAATCAGCAAATGAGAAGTTAGAAATGACAGAAAAACTACGAAAAAGCTAACATATTTTAGAATTCTTAAGTATAGGTTTAGATTAAAAAGATTAGAATATTTATCCAAAGTTAAACTACTTAGTATTGAAAAACGTCATTAAAAGTAGAAGAGGGGTTAGATGTTAGATATCAATGTTACGTCGACGCTGTATAGTATGGTAAATGAAAATATAAGTTTTTACTGAAAGTGTTGCAATGTTTCCAAACAACTGAAATTTAATATACGATTCGTTTATCATAATATTGTAATGTAAAATTTACGCTTAATGCTGAGCTGTTTAATTAATTGTTTCGTCAAAAGTATAAGGATAATGTAGAAGTTAAGGTGGAGATTGTTTTTCTGAGACTGTTAACCGGACCTCAAAGCTGCGGGTCCCTGCACATAGAAATATTTCTTTTCAACTTTATTTGTTATATTGGGAATAAGGTCGTGTTTTAATATTTTTAAAGCCTTAGTCTAAAACATATTATTAACAATTAGAGATGTTTAAATCACTAGAAAATATAACATGTGCAACTGGTGATATAAGAAGTAACAGTTAAGCTCACCAGTAACACCATATCTTCTCCCAGAAACACATGTAATGGAATTGTCTCCATTCCTGCTGTACTTTAATGCTCTGTTCATATAACTGTATAGCCTGAAACAGAATATAAACTGTATTCATTATCATGCAATCTAATGCGAAAGTAAATTTGCAAACTGAAATCTTCTTTAGACGAACTTACACCAGTCTGAAGCAGAAAGTAAACTGTAATGTGAAATCTTTGCGATTTCTACATAATTATATATATCCTTAAACAGAAAATTGTCTAGCTTTATGAAGATAATCAACTATAATACGAAACTTTCTATAATTCTATAGCAGAAACAATCTCTAATGTGAATCTTTTTCTTTCGGGATTACATGGTTGGAAGCAAAAAATAAATTGTAATGCGAACATTTAGTTAGTTGATCTTGTATCCTGAAACAGAAAATAAATTGTAATGCGAATATTTTGTTAGTTGATCCTGTATCCTGAAACGGAAAATAAATTGTAATGCGAATATTTTGTTAGCTGATCCTGTATATCCTGAAACAGAAAATAAATTGTTATGCGAATATTTTGTTAGTTGATCCTGTATCTTAAAACAGAAAATATATTGTAATATCAAATGATGACAGAGCTTATGATCAACACTGCTAGGATGAGATCGAAATTTCTTTCATGAAACGTGTCTTCTTCACATCTTCCTAATTATAATAAAGGTTGATCTAGAGTTTTACTAAACGAAGCAACTCTTCAACCATGGGTAATGTTTACTTCTTTTCAAGACATCAATTATGCCATTTGTTTGTTACAAATACATTACAAAAACTTTAAAAATTAAATTTCAATGTGTATCAGTACTCTAACACAAACATGATTACATTCCTTGTTTGCTAAAACTACTGTATTACAACAAGGAGATTTGCAATGTAGATATGTCACTAGGATTGTAGTATAAGGTAAGTCGTGACCACATTGGTAATCAGTAAAATAATAAAAATAGTAAAACTTATTTAAAATCAATGATGGTTACCATCGGTGATAACTACCTTATATAACCAATGTTTAGATGTTCAGTATTGAATGGTTTATCCATGTCTAAAAATATATTAATAGGCTTGAGCTAATGAGAGATGATACACCTAGGTGGACCCTTCACCTAGGTTAGTTGATCTTTAGTATTATTCTACAACTATAAAAAATATATTGTACACAGACTATATCAAGATGTTGGTGATTCCTCATGTTCAGCATTAATTTTACTAAATGCAAAACAAATATATTTCTTATTTGTAATGACCTTAGTAAGGAGCTTTTGTTTATACCCAAATTTCCATACTTTTTCATTGCAAATTCCTTACGTTTTATGATGTCAATAATGTTCTTTTCTACATCGTTGATTTTGCTGCTACAATATTTCTGTAATTGATAAAAGTTTTTCATACTTCTTTTAGTTTGTTATTATTATTATAATCTCACTATACTTCTTCAATAGTGTCTTCAATCAAAATATATTTGTTCTTAATTCTTGCTGCTCCCGAGCTCAATCCCCAATAGTTGAGCGGTAAATCTCAGGACTTTTAACGCTAAAAATCGGGTTTCAAAACCTGCTGTAGGTAAAGCACAGATAATCCATTCTGTAGCTTTATGCTAAGTAACAAGCAAACAAGTTTATCTTGTATGAAGTTAAGATCCACTATTCTTGGTCTTCTTTTCAGTTTCTGTAATTTTATTCTTGGTTTTTCTTTAATTTCATGCCCATTTCGTCTTAGTTTTATTTTAAGCTTCTATCCCTTTTTGCTTGTTCTATTTCACTATTTTATCACTTCCAACATATTTTCGATATAACTTCGAGCACATGTCGTCGTGTCATATTCAATTTGAAGTTCAGTATGGATTCTATTTTGTTTTCACCAAAATAATCCCACTCCTGACAACACAACTGTAATGTTTTCTATCGTTGAGCAAGGTTCTTTTTAATAGAAAGGAAAGAGTTTTATTCCTTCCACCATAAGGTGTATAACAACAAGATTGCTGATCGATTGCCATAACTCAAATAAAATTTAAGTCACTTAATTGTTAACTTTTATCTCGTAACTACGGCAGAAACTCAAAACTAGCTGAATAACACACTCGCTAACTCAGTAACTGATCTATAACACTCTACAGACTAAGTAACTAGCTAAATGATTAACTAACCGACTACCTAATTCTCCAATATTTATGTCTTAAGGTATCCCCCCCCCCAAGTCTCCAGAAAATTAGAGACGTCACGTCAAAGCTAGACACTCGATAAATTTCTAGACTGCCAAAACTTCCTCTAGTAATAATACAAAGCGTTTACATTGAAAGCGTTTATATATATATAGAGAGAGAGAGTACTGAACAAACACTTCACTCCTTCTTACCTCAAAATGAAGGAGAGTTTTCCTTCTTATAATCAGTGAAAACTAAAATATCGTAATATGAAACAACTATGCTTATAAATACAATGATATGAAACATTCGTTGTAAGTTAGACTAAATTTAAAGTCTAGATTTCCATGATATAACGGATTGTGGAAAAATATCCGTAATGAAATGTAATTTGAATAATATGAGCTATGATGAGAAACTTTTAAACAAATCGACTTGTTTTCTCTAAAATATTAACAAACTTATGTCGACATATTTATGAAGTTAAAGGGCTTCCTAATGGAATGTATAATATATTATA